GCTATTTTGCATTCCTTCCAGCAATGTATGAAAGTTTCAATTGCTCCACACCCATTCTCTCTAGCACTTGTCAATATTTTTTTATTTTGGTCATTTTTATAGGAATGTAGTGATATCGCTACATGGTTTTACTTTGCTCTTCCCTAATGGCTAATGATGTTCAGCAGCTTTTGATGTATTTATTTGATATCTGTGTATCCTCTTTGGTGAAGTGTCTATTCAAGTGCTTTGCCCATCTTTCAATTAGGTTGTTTGTTTTCTTATTGATGAGTTTTGAAAGTTCTTTATACATTCTGGATAAAAGTCCTTTGTCATTTATGTGATTTGCAAATTTTTTTCCCTCGATTTGTACCTTGTCTTTTCATTCTTTTAACAGTGTCTTTTGTAGAGCATAGTTTTTCATTTTGATCAAGCCCAATTTATTAATTGCTCTCTTTCCATTTTACTTTAAGAGTGTTTGCCTTAATTCTTGGAGCATTTTTACAATAGCTGTTTTAAGTCTGTTAGACTATTACATCTGTGTGATTTCTGTTGGCATGCTGGTTTTCTTTCCTCATGATAGTTGAGATTTTTCTGGTTCTTTGCTGAGTAATTGTGAGTTCTAGCCTGGACATTTTGAATATTATGTTCTTACACTTTGGGACTTGTCTGTGGCCTTTGGAGAATATTGATTTTTTTGTTTGTTTTAGCAGACAATCCATGTGGTTGGGTTCAGGCCTCGAGTTCCAACAAGCCTTCTATGAGTTGTATTTTCAAGGTCAGTTTCCTTTGAAATTCTTTGCAGTGCCATGCGCGGCCTCCCCCTTAACTGGAAAAGTCTTTGGTGTGCCGGTTGGGATCACAGCCACGCATGCGCAGCTCACAGGCAGCCGCTACAGGACTTCAGGCGCAACCTTCAAGAGGTCTCCTTCCTCAGGTCCACCCACCTCCAAGATATGCCTGGTACTTTGCAATTCTCTGGTCTCCCCCTTTTCAGTCCTTTGGCCAGAAATCTGGGACTTTGGTTACCCAGTTCTGCTGCGCACTCTCTGCAACTGCACTCACATCTGGGCCAAGTACCAAGAAGTCCGAGAAAATAAGCGGCAAAGGTCAGCTCCACACTGTTAGGGCCACCGCCCTCCTTCAGAGAGCAAGACTTTCTGCCCTCCGGGTCTCCTGTCTCTGCAGGTCTGGCTGCCATTCAGCTCTGACTTCACCACGTCCCCTCACCTTGGAGGTTCCTGGAAAGTCAAGTGTTTTCCCCCGTTCTCTGAGCATTAGGAGCCCCCCTTCTCCCTAGGATCAGAGGATTTCTTGGAGCTCTATCTGTCCATGTTCCCACTTATGGGTTTCTGGTCGCTTTGAGCCTACACTGGGGATACCAGAGTAAAAGTGGAACCTTTAGCGCCCACCAATGGCAACTGGAATTCTGCTTTTCTCCTCCAAGCTACCTGCTACTATATACTTTGCAGAGACTTCAAACAGCTGCACCCTGTATTCTGTCCTGAGCTGCGTTCTTGGGAGGGACAGGTTAGAGTGCGCTTCCTCCATCTGACCTGGAACTGGAGCCCTCCTGTTCTATTTCAAGCCTTGATCATACAGAAAAATTTTAAAAGTAATTAAACATACTTTTTGAAATGTGAAAAATAATCACAAAATAGTTGCTTTTATGAGATATTGGATATGCAAGAAGTACACTGGTATTATGCACAATCGGCCGGTATGTAATGAGCCTCTCTAGCCAAGACTCATAAGAACAATCAGTATAAGCCAAAACTCTGCTTTAAAAAAACAACTCTCAGATTTCTCCACTTGGGTTTAATACTCTGAGCAACCCGAGACTTGGGAAATTAAATTGTTGGCACGGTGTCAGGGCTCTGGAGGGACAATGTTCCTTTGTTTCAGTGGGCTCGCTGACCACTAGGTGGCGCCTGGCGCAGCACAGGCGCCTCACAGATGGTAAAAGTTCAACAGATTTTGTTCAACTGAATGGATGTCTTCACATCACTTCACCGTGTGGCTCTCTTTAAGCATCAATTAATTAACTTTGTGAAGTAAAATTCATAATTGTCATTGAGGTTATTATGGCTTTTCCAAGTTGGCGGTGATTGACTGGAAGCAGTAGTCCTAATTCTCTCAAACACCAGATTGGGTGGTGTTTTTGGCTAAGGAGATACAGGGGAATAGAGCTATTTATTTATCAAGGACAATGCCCTGTGTTTCCTAAGGTCTTTCCAAGTGTTGATAGTCTCCTCATCACACTTCTGCAAGGAGAAGCAGTTGTCCTCACTTCAGACGCCAGGAAACCAAAACACAAATACTCACAGAAACATGGTACCTGTGAAGTAATGTGATAGGTCACTAACAGAGTCCCCCAGCAGGTTAGGGCCAGGGAACTGGGATGAATCTTTCGTCCAAAAACAAAAGAAGAAACGTGTCCCCGATGTTTATTAAGGTATAACTTATACATACTACATTTCTGTATACTACATTTTAAATGTAGAGTGTGATAAGTTTTAGCAGTTGTACACTGCTTTATAATCACCACTATAAACAAGATACAGAACATTTCTGTTACCCTACAAAGTGCTTCATGCCCCTCTGCAGTCAGTCCCCTCCCCACCCCGACCTCACACAAGCCCCGATTTGCTTCCGTGGCTCTGGCTCCGCAGGGCTGTCATCGGCACAGCCGCTCACGCTGCATGTCCCTTCCCCTAGGAAGCACCCCAAGCCCCAGACAGGTCCGGGGACTCTCCTTGTGCCCCCCCATTCCAGCGCCTGTTGCATGAAGTGCCAGTGCCTGTGACGAGTCTGCACTCACCTCACTCTCTGTTTCACCTGAAGTCACCTCAGGAGGGACCCTGTCTTATCCCAGCGTTAGCCCTTGGAAGTGAAGGGCTGATACCTTTAATTCCCTCTTTCTGCCTTATCTTTATATTTTCCTAAAAGAGTATTTCTAAAGTTCTCATTAATTTTGTTTCCTGGAGGCCACAAAGTTGATGATAGCAGCTGCTACAGTTCTGCTCCTAGTGAGGACAATGACTAAAACAAGATGGCTTGTCTAAAAGTGAAATACATTTTTAAAAAATGTCTTACTTGCTTTCAGCATCGTGTCTCCAGCATCTTCCAGCAAAGCAGCTGGTTAGTTTGTAAAATAACATGGTGAAGATGGAGGTGGACGTGGACGTCAATCTTCGGCTGGGAGGGAACTCGGCTATTCCTTGGAAAAACATTCATCTTCCTTCTTACACACATGGGACACTCCCAGTGAGGGGGTGCAGCAAGGCCCCCTCAGATGGATCAGATGTGAATGGACATAGGACAAAAGCTCTTACTGAATGCTCCCCTGGGCGTGGTCCTATGTGGGACGCTGTTTCACTGTTTGACCTAAGAACAGACCCCTTCCTGTCATCTAAGGATTCTTAAATGGTGACCAGCAGACCAGGGGACAGAGAAAAATGAATCTCAGTCACATACCCAAGGAGCCAAACACTTACTATTATGTAAACAAAGGAGATTAGCACATATTTGGGGTTGTCAATGACATCCAATTAGCTTGGGCTAGTGATGTCCCTGTGTCAGATGACAGCCAGAAAATCAGAGGCCAGGACCAAGCTCATCATTATCTTTATTCAGAACATTATAAATTGCCAAACACTTTCACATTTTGATCAAATTTGATCTTCAGAGAATTTATAATGATGAGGAAATGGAGGCCGTGAGAATTTATGTGACAAACAGCAGGTACGTCAAGGCAGTGGAAACACAGGTCTGGAGTCAACGTCCGGCTTCAGACCCATCTCCTCCTCCGGTCCCACTGTCCCCCTCCCTCTATGAGAGAGCTGTGGCCCGGACCTTCACACTGAGTTCCAGGCCCCGCTTCAGTGCTTCCCCTGCTGTCAGCACCCAGGCAACTCGAACCCCATCCTTCTGGCGCTACTCAAGGTCACTCCCACAGCCCTCCACGGCCCTCCACAGCCTTCCTCCCCTGGCATTTCCGCCTTGCGCAGGCACAGCCAGGAGAGTCTCCACCGGCACCCCCTCTCCTTCACTCCCCACATGAACTGTGGAGAGTGACCTCCGGATCCCTTGGGGGCCCGCCCACTCTTGGTCACCTCACCCCTCCCACCCTGGTCACAGCTTCTCCCTGGGCTCCTCCCCTGCACCCACCTCTTCCCCTCCAGCCTCATCCCCCAGAACACCTTGCAGAATGCAGGTCCGGACCCACCACTCCCCCACTGACGGCCCTTCCTGGGATGAGGTCCCATCCCTCTTTGGGGGAAGCCAAGCCAACTCCCCAGGCTCCCGTGTCCCCGTACCCCTCTGCTGGGCCCACTCAGGTCTGGGAGCTGAGCAGAGTTTCTTCATGGAAAAAAGTGGGCATCTGGAGTGTCTGACAAGTGTCATTCCACACACAGAGCCCACATGCACACACACACACACACGCATGTACCTCAAAGCAGCTTGCTCTGGGTGTGTCAGGCACTGGAACCATTTTCTATGACAAGCCCCCTTAGTGAAGGGCTCGGAAACTTTCAGAAGTACAAAGCCTGCTCTCCCCAGTTATTGTTGGGGGACCACAGGCAAGCTCTGTAACTCCTCAGATGTCTCAGCTATAAAGTGAGGAAGGCAACACCCGTCTTATGCAGATGTTGTGATAACTGAATGGGCCGAGGTGGACGAAATGCCTGGTGCACATTCCCTGCTGATAAAATGTTGAGAAGCAATTCTTCTGCGAGGGGGAGGGCAGGACAGAGGCATTTGCCAGGTGCCTGTCCGTGGGCAGCCTGCTCAGGCACCGAGCGCTCCAGGTGGGCCGCTTCTGCGCGCACATCTCTGTGTCCTGAGGACTAGCAGCAGGTCCTGGGACCACGCGTGTCCTCCCACTCACAGAGCTTCCGTGGCTGGCCAGGGGCCCCTCCTGTCACAGCAGGGTCTTGATCCAAACGGATGCCTGTACCCTGTAGAGTCCCAGGGATCGTGTTTTACAGGGGATCGGCTGCTCTTTTCTTTTCCAGGGGATGAACAATCAGTACGCGCGCCGGGAGGTCTTCTGCTGGAACACCTGTCACGAGCTCAAGCGCTTCTGGGAAAGGGAAATTGGCAAACAGACTTGCTACCGAGAGTCGGAGGAGCATCGTCTGGGAAGAAGTGCGCTGAGGCGGTATGTAGCTGTTTGTCTACTTCTAAAATTAACTCATTTTTTAAAATAGGTGGGTTTTTTTAGGGCAGTTTTAGGTTCATAGCAAAGTCGAGCAGAAGGTACAAAGAGTTCCCATTTGTTCTCTGCGCCCCCCCCCCCACATGCACAACTGCCCCACTGCCAACATCTGCACCACAGCAGTACGTTTGTGACAATCAGTGAGCCTTCAATGACACATCATTATCATCTCGTTTATTTTGTAAAAGGAAAATTGATTTCCCCAGAAGAAAGCCAGATGGATATCTCAGAGCAGCAGATCCCAACTTTTTGGCACCAGGGACCAGTTTCATGGAAGGATGGGGTGGGACAGGGGCGGGAGGATGGTTTTGGGGTGATTCAAGTGCATTACATTTATTGTGCAGTCAAACCTCTCTGCTGATGATAATCTGTATTTGCAGCCACTCCCCAGCACTAGCATCACCCCCTCAGCTCCACCTCAGATCATCAGGCGTTAGATTCTCACAAGGAGCTTGCAACCTAGATTCCTCGCATGCGCAGTTTACAGCAGGGTTCACGCTCCTATGGGAATCTAATGCTGCTGCTGATCTGACAAGAGACAGAGCTTAGGCGGTGATGCCAGCAATGGGGAGCGGCTGTAAATACAGATGAAGCTGCGCTCACCTCCTGCTGTGCCGCCCAGTTCCTAACAGGCCACGGACTGGTATTGGTCCATGGCCAGGGTGTTGGGGACCGCAGCCTTACAGAACGTAATCATTTGAATATTCTATGCTCACAGTCCATTAATTCTTATCTTTATAAACTGAAAAAAAATCTCTGCTTTCTGTCACCATATCGCCTTTCTAGCACAGAAGGTTACCCTAAATGGGGGCAGGGAGGCAACAAATGTGCCTGTGAAAAGCAATCAAGCAAAGGAGACAGTGACCAATTCTCAGCGCACATTTGGGTGAAGACACAGGATCCCCCGCGTGGTTCCTGGGGGAGGCCAGCAGGGCCTCTGTCGTGCGTCCTCGTTCCGGCCGAGTGAGTCTGAGCAGTGGAGAGCAGTAACTCCCTGTGCAGAGGAGGGTCACCGTCACTGTGGAAACAGTGCCAGCTCACTGCCCTCACACACACACTGTGGGAAGCCACCACGGGTGGCAGTGAGGGACAGCCCATCTGGGTTTTCTCTCCCCTCCAAAGGAGCAGCTCAGCTAGCTGGCTGTTTGCTGAGGCCACAGCTTGTGTGTGGTAAGGGACAGTGTGTGCTGACCAGACAGCAGGGCCCATGACTCGTGGCTGCTGGGCTGAGAACATGCCTTAATCTGCAGTGTTAAACTCACTGTTCCCTTCCCAAACCCCCTCCTGAGCTCTGGAGGAGAACCCAGCCTCTTCTACGGACAGAGACCTGCTCAGTCCTCTTCCCGGCCACTGTCCTACCTGCTGAAGTGTAGTGTTGGCCATTGCATCCGGGCATTCCCAGAGAAGTTGAGTTGAGTTGTCAGTCGTACCTTTGATTCCCACCATCTTCCTTCCCCCAGGCCAGGCCACTCAGAGTCCTGCACCGTGTGCGTGCACCGGCGAATTTGCAAAAAAGGCCTCATGTGGAGTGAAACTGGCTGAGGAAGAGGCAGAAACCAAAGGCTCCAAGAGAGACACAAGCCAAAGGGTGAACAAAATAGGCTCTGAACCAAATTGTGCAATTTGTTAAAACATTTATATATACATATATACAGTATCTATCTATGCATATAACAAAAGCCTGCAAGGAAATAAACCTTCTGGTTGGTGGGAGGGCAGAAGACCTTAACTTATTTATCTTCCTCCTCCTCTTCCGATTTGAACCGGGTAGCCCAGCTCCAGAGGGCCTCTGCTCTGGTCACCACTCTAGGTTGTCCCTTCACAGAGTGGAAAAGACCGCCCCAAATTGCTAGGCTGTTAGGAGGCTTGAATATGAAAACGTACCTAAAGCACCCAGCGTGGTGCCTGGCCCAAGACCAGGGCTCAGGAATAGCAGCTCCCCTCCCTCCTCTCCTCTCCCGTGTAATCCAGGATCTAACACAGTAGCAGCGAAGCAGCACAGGAAGACATCGCTTGGAGGAGAAAAACAAGACTAAGAGGCAATGGCAAGAGCGGGTGGGGGCGAGAGTGAACTCAGAGCAGCGGGAGGAGCAGACCCCTACTGCGGCCGGGCTGCGTGGTCCAGCCCTCTGGGTCTCTGGGGTGAGCTCCCTGGTCTCCCTGGGCCACAGTCTCCTCGTCATTGTTTTTATCATAGAGAAACAGACAGTAAGAGCAGTAAGAGAGGTGTTGCAGAGTCACTGCCCTTTGAGCGTGGGCAGAGGGAGGGCGCCCTTCCTCTTTTTCTTTCATTGCAGATGAAGCATCTCAGCTACCGATGTGCACAGGGGTGTGCACAAAGTTCCCCCATTTTGGAATTGGTCAGGGAGCCGACACAGATGCTGCCATCTCCCATCTGCCCACTGCAGGGTCTGAGTGCTCCTTTCTGTGCTCCCACCGGGCTCCCAGCTTCGGAGCTGGTTCAATTGGCCCCAGGGGCACAGCTGCTTGTAGAGCTGGTGCGAGGCGTGTCGGCAGTCCACGCCCCAGGTCCGGCTGCCCTGTCCCTGGTGACATCGTTCAGGGAAAGGAGAGTCAGGTGCAAGGGGGAGAATGGAGAAGAGCATTCTAGGCGGAAGAAATGCCATGTGCACGTGGCCTGAGGCAAGAGAAGAGCTTGTCACATTTGTGGAACAGAGAAATAGCCATTTTTACATGATCTTCTGTATTCTCCAAAGTCCCTACTGCAGTGCAGAGCATCCACTAGGTGCTCATGACTGGCTATATCCAGGACCGTGGACTGGGCTCAGTCTGAGCCAGGACTCTCCCCATTCCCGGCTCCCCTGCCAGGCTGGGCTGTCTCCTCTGCCCCCCACCCCAGCAACTCTCCTCCCTCAGCAGACCCCTTTTCCCATGCTGGCCCTTGGGTCCCCTTGTCCTTTGGCCTCTGGCTGGGTTCTGTCGACAGATGGTGCGGGGACCGGAGGATAAATCCACCTGTGTCTTCCCCGCACCCTCCCTGCTGAGGTCCTGTTCAGCAGCGACCTCACGCCTGCTGGGCTACAGCTCCTGCCAGTGGCACCTCCTCCATTGCTGCAGGCTCCAAACCCAGATGGAAACAGACAGACAGAAATACACTGCCGACGTTTGGTGATGTCTAATGAAAGTAAATTGGATCTAAGCAAGGATCATTACCGTCTGCTAACATCAAAAAAAGAGATACAGCCAGACAGATACAATGGCCATCCATCCTCTCGCCCGTGAAGTGTGAAGTAGACTTTTCAAAGAAAAATGAACCTGAATATAACCAAACCTTTAGTTTTTACCCTCCCATTAACAGAACATACAGGAGACAGAGGAATAGGTTACACAAGAATGAATACAGTCAGCAAAATCCAGACTGTGCCAGCTCTCCAGAACAATCGGGTTTCCAACAAATTGCGAGGGAAGGGGAAAGATGAGGGAGAACTTACGGATTAAAAGAAATTTAAAAGATACAGCAACAAACAAAAATGTATGTGCTTTATTTGGATCCTGCTTCAACCAATCAAACTGTTAAAAACTACAGGACAATCAGGACATTGTGAACTGACTGAATATTCGGTGAGATCGAGTACCTCCAGTTAATTTTTTAAGTGTGATGATGGCAACGTAGTTTCTTTTTTAAAAAATTCTTATCTTTTAAGGGTAAAATAGCTAAATCTAGTTATTCTGTTTAAAATGCAGGGGCAGGGTGATGTAGGAAACAAGATTAGCCATGAGTTGCTGAAGCTGGGGGTGGATACGTGGGAGTTTTAATCTGCCATAATAAAGGTTATTTTAGAAATTTTATCTTGAAAAAAAGAGCACTATTTTCCTTGCTCCTCAACACCTCTTCATAATCCACGTAGTCTCATTAATTTTCTCTGTATATATTTTGAGGCTATCAGCTGCATACATGTTTAAAAGTGTAATATTTTTTCATGGTGAAGTGAACCTTTTTATCATTAGGCAGTGATTTTCTTTATCCCTTTGTTTGAAAGTCTTTTTATTGGCTATTAGTATAACCACACAAACTTTGTTTTATTAATATTTGCCTTATGTATCTTTTTTCCCTCTTTTTATATTCAACTTATCTTTGTCCTTATCATTTAGATGTTTCTTTTCTAAACAGCACATAGTTGGATTAGATGTTTTCCCAATCAGACGTATTTTAGTCATTAATTGCTGAGTTTAGTCTTTTTACATTTATTATAATATAATTGACTTGTTTCTACCATCTTAGTTAGAGTATTCTATTTCCCCTCTTCTCTGTTCTTTTTTATTCTTTTCTTACTTTTTGAATTGATATCCATACCTCCTTAATGAGACAGGAACTATTCATATTTCACTAGTTTCTTCTCTTAGCTTCATCATTGTCTTCTTCTTACTTTCTTTGGGTTCATTCTTTTGCAGAAAAGTTCCCAATTTTGATCAAGTGTAATTTATCAAAAAATTTCTTTTATGGATTTTGCTTTTGTTGTTGTATACAAGAAATTTTTGCCTATTTCAGGGTTGCAAAGATTATCTTCTAGGTTTTATTTTTAGCAGCCTATGGTTATCAGTTTTATATTTACATTAATAATTCATTTTGACTTAATCCTTTAATAAAATGTAAGGTATGGATTATCCAGTGGTTCCAGCACCATCTGTTGAAAAGACTATCCTTCCTCCACTGTATCACCTTTGCACTTTTGTTGAAAATCAATTACTCATACATGTGTAGGTCTATTTGGGGGCTCTCTTTCTGTTCCATTAATTTATTTGTCCATTGGCACCAACAACACACTGTTTCGGTTGATTTATAATAATTATTATTTTTTTTTTTTGAGACAGAGTCTTGCTCTGTTGCCCAGGCTAGAGTGCCGTGGCGTCAGCCTAGCTCACAGCAACCTCAGACTCCTGGGCTTAAGCGATCCTTCTGCCTCAGCCTCCCGAGTAGCTGGGACTACAGGCATGCGCCACCATGCCCGGCTAATTTTTTTATATATATATTTTTAGTTGTCCAGATCATTTCTTTCTATTTTTCAGTAGAGACGGGGTCTTGCTCTTGCTCAGGCCGGTCTCGAACTCCTGACCTTGAGCGATCCACCCGCCTTGGCCTCCCAGAATGCTAGGATTACAGCGAGCTACCACGCCCGGCCTATAATAATTCCTGAAGTAAGGTAGTGTAAGTCTTACAACCTTTTCTTCTTTTTCAAAGTTGTTTTGGTTATTCTATTAATAGGTCCTTTGCATTTCCATATTCAATAGGAATCAACTTGTTGATTTCTATTATTTAAGAAAGCATACTGGATTTGATTGAACAGAATTGAATCTATAGATCAATTTGAGGAGAATTGACATTCTAACAATATTTAGAGTCTCTGATATATGAACACAATATATTTCTCCCTTTATTTAGATCTACTTTAATTTCTTTCAATGATGGTTTGCAGTTTTCAGTATACAGGTCATATATATCTTTTGTCAGAGTTACCCCTATTTCATATTTTTGATGTCATTATAATTGATTTTTTAAATTTTAATTTCTGATCGTTTCTTTAATCTATGAGTTATTTAGAATTGTGTTATTTAGTTTCAAAATATTTAGGAGATATTCTATATAGCTTTCCATTACTGATTCTAACTTAATTATTATGGTCAGAGAATATACTTTGTATAAATTCAATCCTTTTAAATTTATTGAAACTTGTTTTATAGCCCAGAATATTTTCTATCTTGGTAAATATTCCATGTACATTTGAAAAGAATGTGTGTTCTGCTGTTGTTGGGGGGAATGTTCTATAAATGTCAATTATGTCAAGTTGGTTGATAATGTTGTTCAAGTGTTTTATATCCTTATTAATTTTTTGCATGCTTGTTTTTTGATTGTTGAAAGATGGGTATTGAAATCTCTGACTATAATTGCAGATTTGTGTATTTCTCCTTGCCATTCTGTCACTTTGCTTCATGTATTTTGAAGCTGTTTTATTAGATTCATCAATGTTTAAGATTGTTATATCCTCTTAATGAATTGACCCCTTTATTACAAAACAACCCTCTTATTCTTTGGTAATATTTTTTGCTATGAAATCTACTTTGTCTGATATTAATATAACCACTCCAGCTTTCTTTGATTAGGGTTAACATGGAATTTTTTTACCCTTTTACTTTTAAACTATTTGTGTCTTCATATTTAAAGTGGATTTCTTATAGGCAGCATATAATTTGATACTGCCTTTTTAAATCCAATTTTATAATCTTTGCATTTTAATTGGATTATTTACACGCCATTAATATTGATTTGTATGATTTGGTTTAATTCTACCATCTTGCTATTGGTCTCCTGTTTCTCTCATCTGTTCTTTATTTCCTTTCTCTTTTTTTAAGTAATTTATTTTTTTGAGTCAAGGTCTTGCTCTGTTGCTTGGGCTAGAGTGCAGTGGCATCATCGTAGCTCACTGCCTCACAGCAACCTCAAATTCCTGGGCTCAAGTGATCCTCCTGCCTCAGCCTTCCAAAGTGCTAAGATTACAGGGATGAGCCACCACATTCAGCCTCATTTCTCTTTTTCTGCCTTCTTTTGGATCAACTGAGTATTTTTTATGATTCCATTTTATCTTTTCTGCTGGCTTTTTAAGTATAGCTCTTTGTGTTATTTTAGTTGTTGCTTTACGATTTATAGTATACATCCTTAAATTATTACAGTCTACCTTCAGGTGATATTTTATCATTTCCTGTGTATTGTAAGAACCCTACAATGGTAAAATTCCCATTTCTCCCCTCCTGGCCTTTGTGTTATTGTACAAAATACAGCTTTACTTCCACCTATGTTATAAATGCTGCAATACATCATGAACAGCTTTGCTTTCAATAGTTGATTATTTTTTAAAGAGATTTAAATAGTAAGAAAACAATTATTAATATACACCCATGTGGTTGCTTTTCAGGTGCTCTTCACTGCATTGTGTAGGTCCAGGTTTCCGTCTTGTGTCATTTCCTTTTGCTTGAAGGACTTCCTTTAACATGTCATGTAGCGACAGTCTGATGGTGATGATTGCTTTCAGTTTTTGTATGTCTAAAAAATCTTTATTTCACCTGTTTTTTCTTTCAAAATTTTAAGGGGGTACAGATGTTTTTGTTAAATGGATAGCTTTTATAATGCTTAAGTCAGGGCTATTAATATGCCCATCACCTGAATAGTGTTTATTATACCTGTTAGGTAGGTTTTTCTGCCTCCCCGCCTTCCACCCCCCGCCTCACACCTTCTTTATTTCCAATGACTTTTACTTCTCTCTGTGTTCATCGGTTAGTTCCAAATTATTAGAGAGTAGATGTGGTGTTAGTTTTTCCATTCTTGAGATACTTCACTTAGGATAACGGTCTCCAGTTCTATCCAAATTGCTGCAAAAGACATTGACTTATTTCTTTTTATGCTGAGTAGTACTCCATGGCACACATATACCACATTTTGTTAATCCACTCATGTATGATGGGCACTTAGGTTGATTCCACATCTTTGCCATTGTGAATGGTGCAGCAATAAACATTCAAGTACAAGTGTCTATTTGATAAAAAGACATCTTTTCACCTCTGTTTTTGAAAGACAGCTTTGGTGTATAAAGAATTCTAGATTTATAGGTTTATTCTCCTTGACTTTAAAGATAATGTATTTTCAAAGGAAAATTCAGAGGACTAAGATTAGAATAGTTTTAACAGACATGAGAATCTGTTCACTTTCACTTAATATAAATAAATAAATATAACATATATATATATATATATATATATATATTTAAACTTGTAAGTTCTCTGCCTACTTTTTAAAACCCGAACACACACACACACATACACACACAACTTCAGGGAAAAAAACAAAAAAGGAAGGAAGCTTCCCTGAAGCAACAGCCATGGAGATGAATGCTCCATCTGTATGTGTTTTATGTCTATTTTCAGGCTCCGAGAAGAATGGAAGCAGAGGCTAGAAACAAAGCTGAGGCTGCGGAACAATCCAGATGAGACTGACAAGCGGGCCAATGTTGGCTGAGAGCTTCCTGCTTCATTGACACAAGGGAATGCAAAACGCTGAGGTCACGCTGCTAGGAGAAGTCAATGCAAATCCCTGAGTCCCCTTGCTAGCCCAGACAGATCTCTCACTATTGTTTCCCCTGCGAATCCTTCCCCAGTGCTCAATGGGAGTCCTCTCTGCATGGGCCAGGTTATTATCCCAAATGTCTCTAAAGACAAGTATATTTAATATCAAAGCTCCATGCAGCATACTTTATTTCCATATAATTATCTTCTGATTTTGAAATCCAAATATTTTAAATTCTAAGCACACTGGGGGATTCCTGATCTTGATGGTCATACTTTAAATATTGCACTGTAGTTTTGCCCCACCATTTTGCCTAGGAAACATAGTTTTATGTACTCCTTTCTCTTGTTTTCTTTTTATGAGAAGAGAAATGCACCTATCTGCAAAAATAAAACTACTGTACATAGTCATTCAAATAAGATTTGAAAATAAATTGATCTAGTATTCTTTTTTCTTCGTATAAATTTAATTGGCCTTTTCAAAAACATGTTTACCAAGAGGAGTAATATCAGGATAATCTGAATAAAACCTGGTTGTCTTGCCATCACTGTGAATGTGCTCTTCATTTTATTGCTTTATTTTTGGGCTCCACATGTTTGCACTGGTCAGCTCTCTGTCAGCCCAGCCAGAACATATCTGGCCAGTGTTTAGCACACAGATTCTGGACTTTGAAATGTCACGGTCACTCCCTCGCCATCTCTCAGGCCCAGAAGCACCTGGGGTTTGTGCTTCCGAGAGTGCAAACTGTAACTGGGCCTGGGGCAACAATTTCTAACTAAGGGAAGGGAGTTTTTTATAAGTTTAAATTTTTTTTTAAACTTTTTTGTTAACAACTAAGACACAAACACACACATTAGCCTAGGCCTACCCAGGGTCAGGATCATCAATATCACTGCCCAGGCATTGTAGAACACAACCTCCCCAGGACACTCTTTAGATAGTATGGCAATTGATATCTCAGGGCCTGTATGGCCTTCTAGATGGGGATAGAGACTTGGCAGAAATCTTGGCTGGTTCCACGCTGGTCTCCAGAGCAAAGTATATGAGCCATCAGGGTCAGCTCAGAGAGAATAAGGAACTCATGGTCAAAAAGGTGGTGAGAGGGAGGATGAGGTTTTAGATTTGGAAAGCCCACTTCCACGGGGAAAAGTTTGATCACTGGTGTGCTGACAAGTGAAATGGTTTATGACTGGCATTTGCTGGGAGCAGTGGCTCACACCTGTAATCCCAGTTACTCAGGAGGCCAAGGCTGGAGGATCACTTGAGGCCAGAAGTTCAAGACCAGCCTGAGCAACACAGTGACAACTTGTCTATACAAAAAAAAGAAAAGAAAAGAAAAAAGAAAGGAAAAAATAAAAAGGTGTCTATCTTTTGAAATACTCAAGCATTGCTGACTTCTTGGGGCTCTATTCTGCTTCAGGCCAAATCTGCATTAAAGAGACTTTTATTGATATGTTTCGGTTACAAATATTTTAGGTGCTTTTTTGTAAAGTACCTAAATACAAGTAGAATGAAATTACTCTCTTTTTTTTGAGACGGAGTCTCACTCTGTTGCCTGGGCTAGAGTGCCGTGGCGTCAGCCTAGCTCACAGCAACCTCAAACTCCTGGGCTCAAGCGATCCTCCTGCCTCAGCCTCCCAAGTAGCTGGGACTACAGGCATGCGCCACCATGCCCGGCTAATTTTTTCTATATATTTTTAGTTGGCCGATTAATTTCTTTCTAATTTTAGTAGAGGCGGGGGTCTTGCTCTTGCTCAGGCTGGTCTCGAACTCCTGAGCTCAAACAATCCACCCGCCTCAGCCTCCCAGAGTGCTAGGATTACAGGCGTGAGCCACCGCGCCTGGCCAAAATTACTCTTTAAGTACAGATACATAAAGTCAAATTTTTGTGTTCACCTATGTGGATGCAATTCATCATTTTTAAACTCCAGTAGTATTCTTTTCTAGGAAAAACAAGTCTCTATGGAACCTGGTAGATGCAAAACATAGGGTTAGTTTGTTCAAGGTCTAAACAGAGACTTGGAGGGTGAGTCAGGCCTCAAAGCCCTATTCTCAGTCCATTCTGCCTCAAGGGCGCAGTGACCTCTCAGAGATACGAATAGTCCTAGCCGCTGCTCCTTGGAAACCTTGACTCCCTGGAGATGAGCAGACACTGCTTCCTTTTCTCTGATCTGTGGAAGGCTCACCAGGTTAAAGCTCTAGTGGGTGTGGGGCCAGCTTTGGGAGAGGCTGAGAAATGCAGTGGGCGCAGGCTACAAAAGGGAGTTGTGGCAGCACGGTCAGGCGTGGGGAAAAGGCAGGCCCAGAGGGGCAGGAAGACCCAGGACCCACCTCAGGGGGCCCGAGGCAAAACCTCAGCTGCCTTGGCATCTGGTGCAGCCCTAGGGATGGGAACAGGGCTCGTATGTTAAGAGACACAAAACGTATCTGTTGGGTGAATGAATGGAGTGTTTGCATATAGCACAGGCACATTGTTTTATGAGAAACTTTTAAATAATAACCCCATTCAAAGCAGGGCTGAGGGGACTAAATAGATGCTGCTCAAGGCCTATGTCCTGTCTCTTTTAGCAGAGAGCTAGCTTGGCTTTCTGAGTTAGTCAACATAAAGCACACTGATACCAGTTGCTAAGCCTCAGGGGCGTCTCTTCTTACAAGGCCACTTCTTGGCCAGGAAGCTTTCAGTATTTCATAATTGCACAAATGTTTCCATTTGGTCTAAAGAATGAGGGACTTTACAGGGGGGTAGTGCTTCTGGAACTTTTCCGCCGTGTGCCCCTTCCAGCCGTGGCAGGCCTAAGCCTAACACTGGGGTGTGCTTCTCTGCTCATAGTTTCCCCCCAATAAACATAATTTCACCTGATGTCCTGTGATGTCTTCAGTGACAGGGGGTCCGTGCCCCGTGTTCTTGACAGTGGCTTCATTTGGGCCCTCCCAGGCCCAGAAGGCTGACTTGGAAGACGGCTCCCAAGTGTTCAGGGAACGTGAGGCAAGCGGAGGGAAGGGTAGAAAGCAGGCAGGGAGCAAACTGAGGGAAGCAACACCGGCAGAGGGAGAGGCAGTACAGCTTTCTGAGTTTAGACGAATTCACTCTTGAACATGGCTGTTTCTATCAGAAACCAGTCAGGAAGAAGAAGAAGGAGGAGGAGGAGGAGGAGGAAGAGAGGGAGGGGGCGAGGGAGGCAGTTCAGCAGAGCACACGTGTTAATACTACAGAGGTCTGGTTACAAAGGTACTGGAATAGCTGAGATGCCAGACGGACCGCGAGGCATCCATCCTCTGTCTCCTTATGCATAACTGGAATATTCCTGCATTCTGCATTCATGTTCTTTTACCCATCGCTCTCTCTCTCATACTATTTATATCTCACTTTTTCTTAGTAATTTGCTATAATACGGACAGGGCGGGTTTTGCATATTTATGTATTTGTGCACACCAAGTGCGTGATTTGAAACCCTTCCCTTACGAATGCAGTAGGATCTGAGAGTTAAATAATGATGATCCTGTTCTTGGGCCTAGTGGGAGGTGAGGAAGGCTATTCTTGTCTGTCAACATATATTCACATGCCAGGCAGAGTGGCAATGGGCAAACTTGTCACCAGCCCAAAGCACAACCCGAAAGGCCATATGTTTGCTCTGTGCCTCCAAAGTAAGTGGATAGGACAGATGGCTGTGCCCAAAAGGACACAATTCTTCCTATAGGATGTTCTCAGCCAAACCCTAGAACATAGATTCATTCATTTATGTAAAATAGAATCCTACTCTACCTGTTTTTGTCATCAAGCAATTTATCCTAAGCAAATGTCCATTTAATGTTCAAATACATTATCGTGTTAATGACCTCAAGATAGTATAAATCAATGAACTGTGATTTATTGACCAGTACTCAAGTATAGAAATGTAACTCTAAATATTCATAGTATGAACGAGCATCCTTGTCCATTTTCCTTTGCATGTTTCTCTGACAAAAAGTCATTCCTAGAATGCAAATGCTAGGCCAAAGCATCTGGACATCATTAGAGGTTTTGAAACTATCGAAAAGTGCCCAGCAAAAGTGAACCAATTTGCCTTTCCAGAGCCTTCTATGAGTTGGGTGTACAGTCCACACATTTCCAGAGCTGTGCGTTAGCATTCTTTGTAACCTCAGTAAATGTGATAAGTGAACAGTACACTGGATGGTTCAAACGTGGATTTCCTTACATAACTGTAGCAATGCTCCCATTTCCTTTGTCATCCACTTTTATACACACCATTGTCATTGCTCGTAGTGCCCACTTGTCCTTTTCTATGGTGAAAATGTTTGCCTTTGATATATGATAGCTTTCTAAAATATTAATTACATTCGTATTTTATCTGTAATATCGTCAAAAACATTTCCCAATGTTTTAATTTTAATTTAATTCATGAGAATTTTGCTATGAAATTATCTCTTTTTATGTTGTCAAATCTTTTATTTTGTCATTCTTTTACTTATGTTTTCTGAGTTTGATGTCATGACTCCAACACTCCAGGTTTACAGAAATATTTGTCGGTATATTTTAGTATCTTTTGTTGTAGTTTTGTTATGTCGAATGCATTAATATTTTGAGGTTATTTTGGGAATGTACAGCATACAAATAATAAGTTGAATTTTAATTTCCAAATAATTAACTAGCATTAAGTCATGAATTAACCATTCTTATTGTATCAAAATCCCACACGTTACCATATCATACCAAGAATATGATAAAATATTCTTGGATCTTTTTCTAGACTTTATATTTCACTTCAACAATGTATCTGTCTCTTTAAAGTTGGTAAATGCCATTTTATTCTACTTTATTAATTATTATAATTTATGCACTTGCCCAGATAAGTCCTTCCATAGTCCATGTTTACAATAATTACCCAGCTATTTTAGCACATTTGTTCTCTCATGTTTATTTTTCATTTGTTTCAGTTTGATGTAAAAAAAGT